CCCCAGGCTGCGCGTCTGCGTCGTCGCGTGAGGGTGGAATCGTGGGCGTGCTTTGCCTCGAGGCTGCGCGTCGTTGCGTCGTCGCGTCGGGGCTCCGTTTGTGTGAATCGCGTGCGTGCGGCGCGAGCTTGTCGTTTTTGAATCGATGATTGAGGACCGATTGAGGATCGATTGAAAATCGATTGAGGATCGGGTGAGGGCGGTGTTGGTGTAGGATCTCGTTGTTGTTGATGGTTTTCTTTAAATATTATAAGACTATGTAGGCAGTAAAGGATTTGAAGGAACGTCCAGAAGGCCTAATTTTTTTTTAAAGATATCTCCCGATGCCATCTAACTAAAAGATTTCTTCTTGTAAGACTTCAGGGTGGCGCCGATGGCATGTCAGCAACGGTCTTTTCGATAAATAGCGAAGGGCATCTCACAGATATACAACTTGAGGCAATTCAATCTGTCATGACACCAGTCAACTCTGCACACAAGTTCCACATCCTGCCCTCAGCCTCTTCGTCATAGACCCATGGAGCGTATCCCGAGTTCAGAGCGTCGGTGAGGTTCTCCGTCGGGGACGTAATCGAGCAATCTGCCAGATACTTTCCCCCTTTCCCCTCCCACACTCTGCCCACAGCCGCCCACACCGTTGTCGACGCACCTTGCTCTGCGCTCTGCATGCAACGCGAGAGTTCAACGTTGGACTTCCATTGCTTGATCTGCTCTTCTCCTGCGTGAGCCAGTAGATTCGTCCATATGCCACCTGGATGGATCGCGAGGGAGTGAACACCACGCGGGCCGAACTTGCGGTCGACATAGTTGGAGGTCCAGATCTGGGCAGTCTTCGAGCTGCCGTAGGCGAGGAAAGGGTCGTATTCGCCGGTGAAGTTGAAATTGTCCCAGTGGAATGTTCGGTAGCGATGGGAGCTGGAAGCCACGTGGACTACCCGAGATTTGAAACCTGGAGTGCTGCTGGATACCAAAGTAGGCAGGAGTAGACTCGTCATGGTGTAATGCGCAAGTTGATTGACTGCGAATTGTAGCTCGAATCCATCCTCAGATTTGGTCTCCGGGGTGGCCATGACTCCTTGACACTGTTAGTCCATCCCATTCTCTCCAGTCAAAGGCAACAAAGCGTACCGGCATTGTTTATCAGGACATTCAACTGCTTGCTTTTAGCAAGAAACTCGTTTGCAGCATTCTTGACCGACTCCAGAGACTCCATGTGTACTTCCAGAGTCTCAATCTTTCTCTTTCCACCACTGGTGCTCTGGATATCTTCGATGACTTCCTGCGCCTTGTCTGTATTCCGCGCTGTGATGAACAGATCAGCACCTGTGGCATGTATTGCCCTCGCGGTCTCAAGGCCAATTCCACTGGTTGCTCCAGTAATCAAGACAACTTTTCCAGACCATTGGCCTATACAGTCATTGTCTTTGACCACTTGAAGTGCGGTAGGACGCTGGTCACCAGGCCCGTTCGTGTTGACGAACGTGTCTTTATAGGGGCTGAATTGATCACTAGGCATTGGATAACGAGTATGAAGTAGAATGGATTGGAGATGAGATGTGCAAGTGCAGTAATTTAAAATGAATCTCGAGTATGTCTGCTGGATCAAGTTCATTCTCCATGAAAGGAGTGCTCCGCTATATAAGCTCGCCCAACTGATAGACGAGCGAAAAGCGGCGGAGATGACAAACATGCGCAGCGGCAGCCGATGTCATATTCGCATATAGTTTGAATTGGGTGGCCGCACCAGAGGCAGCGGACAGAGCGGAACTGGGGCGGACGCGTAGAGTCAGAGCGGACAGAGCGGACAGAGCGGACAGAGCGGACAGAGCGGACCTGGTGTCCGCTGTCCCGTGATTTCAGTCGAACATCAGGATGGCGCTATTCGTCAAGGATCGTAAGTAATGATGTCAAGCAAGCGAAGATGTTCCTATCCGGCTGCATCTGCTGTATAATCCTAAATATTAGCCGGGCCACCATCACCGCATAGGAATCTATCTACCTATCCAGCCACTTCGACATGAGAGCTTGCGCTCAAATGTACGATTGGCACGTGGCTCCAGAGTACTTCAAATGTCCGAGGATTTCCACAATGGAAAATGTCGTCGTAGCCAAGAAGTTCTCTAGGGCGGTTGTCCTAAAGGTTGATCGTGGTGTACAGAACTTGCAGAGACTCTTCATGTTCAAGGAGTTTCATGTACAGGCCTAGTGAGGAGGTCAGCATCTTCTCTGGCAACGCAATCCCTCGCATAGAGACATACCAGCAACTTTCCAACGATTCTCAATCGCGGTCAACAGATCGACATATGTCCTCATAGCGCCAATTGTCTCCTCGTTTGGGTCCTCCTTGATGAACCAGGCACACTCTGAAGCGCAATGGTATAGAGAATAGCAGATAATCGGGCCTGTCTCTTTCACACGAGTCGCGAGCATCTGTGCTACCGGCAGCATTCTTTCCAGAATGATTTGACGAACGCCAGCAAGAGATATCTGCTGCATCTCGGTATCCTCTGAAAGCCGTTCTTGTTGAATGGAATCCTGGTCTGGCTCGTTACAGCCGTACATATTGTAGAGCAGTAGGCGAGCGCAACAGCACAGAGCTAGTGCCTCAAAAGATGCCATGTGTGCGGACTCTTGGGATGAGATATAAACGGATGAATGCCTCTGCGACAGATTTGAGTCAAGAGCGACCAAGGCACGCTCTAATTGCATGGCTTCGGCCATTC